TGGAAAAGTCAGCGGTTGTACACGTCCCAACTATACAGGGTTTTGTGAGCTTACCTTCAAAAAGGTTCCACGGGTATTGTAGATCGTCTTGATTAGATTGGCATCTGCGATGCTGACCGTATTGGGGCCAAGTCGGACAACGTCACCATACTGGTCGTGGAGCTTCCTCTGCGTCTCAATGTGGGTCTGGCCGTAATGGTTAAAGAAGCGCCAGATGTTGGAGAACTTGGCTAGGAACGGCCCGGGAATCTTCTTTAGTGGGGATTGAAGGTAGGCCAGAACGTATTGGGTGATGAGAAAGACAGTTCCCAGGCCAATTGCCTTTACGAGTAGCCCCACTAACCCCATTGTTGTGTACACGATGTATGTATCCTGTAGTGTGATCGGGACCGTGGTAAGGGATGAAACAGAGTTGCAAGGGCAGCTGAGAAATCGGGACCAAGACGCTCTACATAAGAATGGCCACTCTCTGCTAACTATGCATATGTTACAACTCGGGCGAACTAAGTGATCCTGTGGGGCTAGCATCCCGTCTCTTCGCATGGCCGGATGGCATTCTTCCTACTACAAAGGGCCGTATACCGCTGTGAGGTGGAAACGTCGCCACGCTCGCTTGAAAGGATGCATTACTTTTGCATGGGACCCCACCATCCCAGTGTGCATTTAGTGATTGACACGCCAGGGTTTACCGACTTATGTCAGGCTGGCCGGTGCTCCCGGACGACACCCTAGGCGTTGCGGGACGGGGGAGGCAGTCTCTCCGTCAGGATCCCGTGATTAGTGGATCTGACCAACGTCGCCAAGTGTGTTCCCAACCGACCAGATAGCAGATCCTCTGCCACATTGCCGGGATAAGAAGAGGGTATCTGTAATTGCTGCGGCATTGAGCGACACGGGAGCGCGACTCCACTAGACGACGCCTCGTTACTGCGGTCGCGTAGTACAGCTGGGGCCAAAAGCCACAAAAAAAAGCAAATGAGAACTGACACAAGCTGGCCCCTCCCTACCTGCATCCGTCCAAATGGAGACGCGGGCCCCAGTCGATGAAGCGCGTACAACGGCCCGAGGCGGGAGCTTCGCCTGTCGTGCTAACCCATAACTCGTACACAGTAAGTAGGTTTCGCGCAAATCGACATGCTCCCCCCTCACCACCTCCCCCTCCTCCATCTCTCTTGATCGGCCAATAGTGACAGGCCCGCGGAATCAGCAACATGTGAAGCTATGCACTCGTGGCTCTTGTCTACTACGCCATCTAGTACCACGCTCGCTTAGTACATGTCGATTACCGAGTATTAGAGATTACGATTCGCATACATATGACAGGAGGCTTACGCTTGTCATTGCCTTCACCAGTGGGTGCTATCTTTTGTATCACTGCGGCGGCACTAGGGTATACATAAGTAGTCACAGATGTGCCGTACGGAGCGTCGGATCCTCTTCGTCCGCGTATTCTTTTTCTTCCAGCCCGCCCCCCTCCCTCGACACGGATCATATACAGAGCTGGTGGCGACGCCAGCGCAGCCTACCCAGTTAATCGCCGTTCATAGCAGTTGTGTGTACGGAGCAAGGTGCTGTTTCAAGCTTCGCGTTAAGCGGAAAGAAGATTGACAACAGCTTTGGGAAACGGTGCAGTCGATGCAGATGGGGTTGCTAGCGCATCGCTTGTTCAGGGCACTTCACCGTCCACGCGCACTGGCTACATAAAGACGGCATAGCTAGTTGTCGCCAAGCCTTCCATGAAAATGGAGATTGGATGCAGCGCCCGGGGAAGCAGGACAGACATCCGGCGCTAGGTTTGATCCAAGCTGCAGGTGTCCGTCTCTCACATGGCTGCTGCCAAAAGGTTGGTCAGAAGCCTAGAGGGTTGATCTCTTCCATGTCAAGCCACGCTTGGATTAAGTAACCGATTCCGTCTTTGAATCTTTGTGCAGCAGGATTTGAGCCACATCATCATATGGTTTTCGACAGGGCTGTGAGAGGAATAGCGCAGTAAGAAAAGCACCGCGTATGGGCCCCGAAAATAGCCCAGGGTGGGATTTATTCGTCTCGCTTTGGAGGCTGCCACTTCTTCTGCCTGGAATGGGTGTTGGAGACCCAGCGATCAACCAGACCCTCGGAATTGTTTGCAGATGCATTTTCTTCTTCAGCGTGGGCATCGTATTCGTTGAAAGGAGGCATAGAAACAGCGACGCACTCCTGCTTTTTGCCCACCAAACGAACCGGCTTTCGACGAGACAGCCCATAGTCGCAGGTTTTAAATTCTCCGTCTTGTCTCACTCCTTTCTTGCATATACCGCCATAGCTTCGAGATAGCGTTTACTCGAGTTTCTCGTTTACTTCAAGACGGACACCCTTTCACCCATCACTGGAGTCACACGGCAGTGTCTCACGCCAGCCGTGGGTCATTAGACAAAGACAAATCAGCCCCATTTGCGGGCAGGACCACTGAGCCACTAGCGACCAACATGGGCAAACCAGCAGACTTTGCAGACATACTCAATGGAGTCATGTGGTTTCAGGTCTTTCTCGCTACCGTCTTCATTGCACTGCGCCTCTATACCCGACAGTGGATTGTACGAAATTTCGGATGGGACGATGTATTGATGTTGGTCAACTTGGCAAGTCAATTTTTCTGCATTCTCCCACCGTCTACAAGGATCGCCTTCTAACTTTTCTAGGCTACCTTTATAGGTTATGTAGCCTGCATATCCATCGGGGTCAACTACGGAGTTGGGAAAAAAACGGCTGACATTATCCGTCTCGACCTTGACTACTCCAAAGCCATCATGTGGGAGGCGATAGGCCAGGGAATATGTATCATGGGAATCGCTGCCTCCAAAGGTTCGGTGGCGCTCTTTCTCTTACGCATCGTTGTCAAGCAGTGGCATGTCGGCATCCTCTGGTTTTGCATAATAAGCACTACCATATTGTGCGTTATTACCACGGCGCTCCTATACGCCCAGTGTATACCAACAGCATTTCTATGGGACCGCACAATTGAAGGTGGCCACTGTTGGCTCAACTTCACTCCAGTCGGTCTGACCATGGGTGCTTGGTCCGCGTCTATGGACTTTGTTCTTGCCATCCTTCGTAAGTCAACAACGAGTACAACACTAGTTCGAACACTGATGATCCATCACAGCCTGGCACGTTCTCATGGGCCTCAACATGAAGCATAAGGAGAAGATTACCATCGCATCCGGTCTTTCACTTGGCATCTTCGCTGGTGCATGCTCTGTTGTTCGCACCATTGAGCTGCAATCTCTCGCGTCCATGGAGAACTATGTATACGACACTGCCAGCATGCTTCTTTGGTCCTCTTCAGAAGTCTGCATGACTATTGTCTGCGCATGTATCCCCGTCCTCCGTCCCTTATATGTACGCGTCAAGTACGGCTCGCGCGGCGATTCGTCAAATAAGGACTCGTATCACCTCAAGGAATACTCGAAGTCAAAAAGCAGCCGTGGAGATGGGAGTCAGCCTGGAAATAAGATATACATGGGCCCTGGTGAGAGCGTTCTGCAGACAACTGTCCATATGGGCAGTGATGCTGCGAGTGAGGAGACGATTCTGAGAGATTGCAACCAATCGAGACATCATGCGAGCGCATGGGATCAGCTTTCAAGGACAAAAGAGCCGAAGGACATTCATGTTACGACGACGGTTACTTCAAGAGACTATTTTGTTTGAGCGGAGAGACCGACATGAATGCGATGGCATATGATCATTAGATTGTACATGATTCAATGGACTTTGGCTTACGCTCACCGAACACGTGTCATAAGATTGTATTTCTGAAAAAATTGTTTCTGGCACCCAAACTGTGTGCCGATTCCGAAATCCTGCCGCATACTTACTCAATCCCGATCCAGCAGTCTGCATATTGTGGACAAGTCCCTGCACAGGATTTGTAGCATGAGGTCCTGATCGGTGTGCGATGTGTACCGTATTGCCGAAATGAAGCCGTCATCAGCGCGAATGCCGTACCTCATGCCATCCCTTCGGCGAACTGTTCCGCTCAAGCAACCTGCTGGGCCCACATAATCGGCAAGACATCGAAGAGGGTATTGCCCTGTAGATCATGCATTTATTGCGCGCGTAAGATGTCCTTTTTCCACGCTTGCGTTTATAACCTTTGCTTTCTCCACATATCCACTGCAGGAAAGAAAAGCATTTTCCATGCGATTTGACTTTCCCATCATGGCCTGGTCAGATGAGGTGGAATAGTATACTTTCCTTTTTCATCGGGGCTTAAGTTGGTGTCATGTGGTAGAAGAAGTCGTTTCAACACTAGTCCACGGCCCCGCATTTCGCGCCCGAGGAGGGTCCCCCCGCAAACATCAGTGGCTGTATAACACATGACACCCAAGCCCCTACAACGGAAGCCCACCTAGCTATTTCTTTTGCCCACAGCATGAGCGAAGGGCAGTTCACAACGGCGATCGAAAAAGAAGGTCTCAAGCTTGTACGCCTGCTTCTATTGAGGACGATCGATATCAAACGAGCAGCAGCCTCCGACGCAGGGAAAAAATAAGGAAATTAGCAAAGAGGGGAAATTTCAAAGAGATACTAGCGGATTGACAAATTGGACTCAGTAATGATACACGATTTCCATACAAAAAAAGCAACTAGGAAGGGTTGCCTGGTTGCATACAGGTCTTCGTACGCAAAGAAATATAGAATGAGACAACTAGCAGACTCTAATAGACGCTGTCGATTCTTCCGCAGCCCAAAAAACGGCAAAGATGTACACGCCTACCACTTTACACCTACATGCCAAGTTAAATAGACCAACCGAACTTGGTACCCACAAAGAAGTGAGTAGCAGCTGTGTTCATTTTGCTTCTTTCCCATTCAGCCTTCCAAGCTTGATGTCGTAATACGACCACGAGTACGGGGGCAAAAACTCCTTCTCTCCCTTGCAGCTCCCTTCACGTGTTGTACACATGGAGCGGTTGGATGGTGTGGGGTTAGTCACCAAAGGTATGTGGATTTCATGCTCAGGAGTCGGACTCTGTTCCTCGTGTACGCCGGGATCGATAGTGGTCGACAGAGACGGTGGTCGCTTTTCTGTGGAGCAGTCAGCGAGGCTTGACTCTGACTAGTACCTAGATAATACACCGAGGCGCTATAAGGCTTGATTCGTCACTTTTGAAAGTTTTTCGGCAGACTTACTGCTACTCAACAACTGCCGTCGAGTCTCTATCATCTCGGACAGCGGAAGGTATGGACCCCACTTAGGAGTAAACCCAGTTTCCGCAATCGGTTTTTTTGCGACACTGCTATCCGAGTCGGGTTGGTCGTAAATGGAATCCCGGCGGACTTTCAGTTCAGCGCCGCAACTAGGACCTGCAGCTTCATTGTCGGTGAAATCATCAATTCTCGCAGGGAATGATTCATCCTCGGAAACGACCTCGAAGTGAGTACCCATCAAGCCAAGCTCAATCGAGTCGATGCGTTTTTTTGCATTCGGTGGCTGGGGGTTCCCCTGACTACTTTGGCGATAGTGAGCTTCACGTGCCTCAACTCTGTCCCACCTCAAGTCCGACTCCTCACTGCTGGTGGGCATGATATCTGCAGACTTTGTATTGTGATACTGGTACTGGGTGCGAACATGCGGTAGTGGTCAAGTGTAAGGTAAGAAGAACCGACAAAAAGAGTAAGGCGATGGCCAGGGTCTAGTCGCTAACCCAGAAGATATGTCTCTGAGAATGAATGGGATTACAATATTGCATTTTTCTTTGACATCCCCCGAAAGAACGATTAAGCACAAGGATCTAAATACTAAGTAGAGTCTACACAGTGCGCCAAAAGACTATGATTCGCATGCATAGCCGCAGTGTCCGTATCAACATGTACCAATACGCATCGTCGCCGACATTGTTGCAAAGAATCAAGATAAAGAAAAAGTACAGAGACTCGGACTCGCCGTTACTCGTAACCAAACCTTCGGGCCAGACCCCCCTACCCTCCTTGGTCGCCTTGAAGCTGCATGGCAAGACACGCTGGCGCAAACAACGATGCGATGATGCTACGCTAAAGCTATAAATCCGCCGGGTACGGGCCTTACTAGACGGCCAACTCCGAGTGGCAATTCTGGCGCCGGCGAAGGCATTCAATTCCCAACTACGCAAGCCCAGTACGTCACCATCGCAAGTTAGCTGATTCGCTACTCATCATCAAAACATACTGCACGTATTATTCTCGGTAAACTAAGAGATATTCCCAACAATTGAATCTCCGCTTAATGTTCATGAGGTGCGGTCAATAACTGATGGGTTTAACCGCTTCTCTGATGCAAGACAAATGGGATGGGGGTCAGCATTGATTACAGCCGTTAAGCCGGCATTATCTAAATCGTGCAATGAAGGAGTTAACTGGTTGAGAACGACTTTGGCACATTGACACCATGCTTCGGTGATTCCGTACACGCTAACAGCTACTGCGGTCCTTAGTGATTGACATGCAAGGCTGTAGCAAGACCGAGACATGTCATGCAGGCAGGAGGCTCAAGAACCGAACGCTCGGATTTGACAGCTACAAAAGCGGGGGTGCCCATGCATTTTCTATGCATAACGTTTGATGGAATCACCCAAGGGCTTTTGGCAGTCGCAAAGCTTAGTAGCTTTGTGGTACAAGAACGTTGGTGATAACGGACAGATCCGAGCCTTGGAGCGTTTACGGCAGGTCTGAAGTGAGTAGGCGGGGGTGTACTGTAAGCCGCATTCATCTCTCCAATCACACCCTTGTCAATGAATGTACCGTATACATGACAAACGTCATCGTTTTGCAATCACCATCTCTTGACCGGTTGGCAGCCCTCTACGGTGTACCAGTTTCCAATATCAAGGACTGGGCACTTCACTAACGGGCGGCTATCTGAACTGAAGAGTCTGACCGGTTCAGCCATGTAAGCACTCTGCGCTAGAGAAAAAGAGGGGTCACAATCGCGAGTTGGATCTAGTTTTGCGGCTTATGCGCATGAAAGAAGTATGTGAAAAGGCCTTGGTATTTATCGCCCAGCTCATTCGTCTTCAATCTACCAAGACTTTCTGCGCCCCCGCTCGAACCAAAATTCCAGTTAGCTAGATTCCCAAGGCCGATTGGTGAGATGGAAAATGGCCGTTTGTGGGAATCGACAGAGACGGAGACACCGGGCGGCATGCAGGGTTCGGCGGATGACACACTCCGCGTACCTATCATAGAAATTGCGGACTTGTTATCTAGAAAACTGATTGCATTGTCTTTATGACAAATGCGATTGCGATTGTGCGAACCCAAATTACCAGCTTGGTGTCTGTGCATGGCGGAAAGCGCGGCTGAGTCCAGCTCTGTCTCCTAATTGGTCTTTGGTCATTGCAGCCTCAAAGGCTGGTAGCGAACACTTTTTAGTATCTGACCGATCGAAAAATAGAGCGTAGTATTACGTGTCGAGGCCACGAGATCCTGTTCAAAGGAATGTCATCATGTGGTCCCGCCATTGTAACAGCCTTGTTGACAGTGCTGAATAAAGGTGCTAGAGGATATTATTGTTCTTAACCAGCCTCTGCCAGATTACTCCATTTATGGATCATGTAACTTTAACTTAAATTTACTAGATTGTTTGTAGTCCTTAGAGAACTACGCAGAGCATATGATAGAACAGAACTCGAGTTGGGGAATTTTTACAGCAAGCGTCAACCGCATGATATAGCTGGAAGTTTATGCCCGAGATTACCAATGGGAATTAGGTATACCGGAGGAGGCATTATGGTACTGCATCGTTCTGTCTGGCGATTTCTTCCACGTATTGATATAGTACTGAATTCGTAAAGCATCCATGTCAATGAGTTTGATGCATCTAATCTCTATCAATACTTATGCGTTTTGAGATATATTTCTAACAGATATCGGCGCAGAAAAATACCTCCCAACAAAAGTTCTTCCGGCAATCTTTCTACTGGATCTTTGCCCCTTGTATGAGGAGCAGCTTGATAGACAGACTGTGTGTCCACAGGCTAGGCTCACTACAGTAAGGCTTACTACAATACCAAACGTCATTCAACATCCAAGATATCACTAGCCACGGAGTATTCATATACATTGAGAAATACTAGATAGTATAACTATTTACACCCCAGATTATACACCCAATCGCTCATATCCGGTCGTTTCTCTTAGCAAATCTTGTAGTAGCTGGGGCCACCTGCGCCCTGGCAGAGCGAGACAGACCTGCAAACACCCTTGCTCCACTCAGAACCCTACTGCTGCGCGCACTTCTCGTTGTTGAAGATCGTGTTCATGGCGGGGGTGCTTGAGGTACCTGTGAAGCACTAAACAGACTCTTGATTAGAACAGGTACTATGATCATATGGGTCCATGTAGAAAATAGAGAGAGGAAAAAGGTATGATGATGATAGACAAGCAGAAAACTTAGACTTACCCACTCGCCTGGGCCACGGAGTGAGCCTCTCATAAGCTGGCAGAGTCCAGAAGCCCTGGTTGCCCCAGCGGCATTCTGACAGGTACACTCTTGGCTCTGGATAGGGAACTCTCTGTTTTAGCTTTGTTAGCTAGTTTTTGAAAGAAAAGTGATAGAGTTTAAGGGATATTTCGTACGATGCCTGGGAGGAGGGCAGAGTGGCAGCCAGAACGGCAGGTAGAGCAACAAGAGTAACGAAGAAGGCCTTCATGACGATTGGTAATGTCGTTTGAAAGTAAGTGAGGCTACTTATTGGCTTGGATGATTAGCACAGACGAGTGGTGAGTAAAAAGAAACTTGTTTTCAGCTTGCTATCTACGTGTATATATACATTTTCCCCGTACGTCTCCGTTACCGATCCTTTGAATTGATGTCGAGTCATATTCATCATCCGAGGCATGATCATCTGCAGTTTCTTGAGTGCCCTCCACTTATGCTTGCATGTATTATTAAGATTCCATGTTTTAATATCGGAGAGCAACCATAGATGCACGTTTACCCGTAGCATTTGGCCAAGATTATCCATTGTTAGCCTTTGTCTTCTTCTCAAGGCTTGGATGTTAGGTTAAGCGACTGTTTAAAGCGGCTTGAACACCGACCATGGTCCCATTGTGATAAGAAAGCCCCCAGTTAACCCCAGATTCTAAGCCCCGTTGGCCCACAGGAACAGGCCGGGATGCGCATGATGCCGAGAAAAATCTGGATGATGAGATACTGGCTCGCTGCAAGGGCGAAGCGAAACACCACCTTTTCCGTAATATTTGCTCCATTGCAAAGTCTAGTCCCATGCTATGAATTTTATGTTCCTCCAGAACACCAACCCCACAACTAATCAAGGTTGAGAAGTGCGCACTGAGTTCTTTCATGAAATCTCCAGGTCAAGAGTTCACTGCTGCACTCGTCGCCCTGAATCCAGACCACAGACTTATTATGCAACGCATATCAATACCACATAGTGGGTGTAACATGACTGGAAAGTACCTCGCATAAAACCACTTTTCGGGTTGCAAACAATTGAGCAAAGATCGGCACTTGCTCCTATGAAAACATGCCTTTCAATCAATACTGTCTTCGATAGGCGGGCCTAGAACGCTCTGTGGATCTGACATCAAGAGATTATGCCTGCGTATCGCAATCTGTCGTCACACAGGTTAGTCTCAATCGCATTTGAGAAGGTAACGACTTCCCCCTTTCTGTATCCTCCGCATTTTTGCATCCTCCGCATGTTTGCATCGTCAGACCACGTTATTGTATGCGCCCAGCGCAGTCCTTACTTGAATCGGCTCCAAATGTGCCCAAAAGTACTAGCTTTACTACCCTGTGATTGGCTCGAACCTCAGTACTCCGCGCATTGACAGCCTGCCAAAGGATCTTCCGCTTGAGTATGCCCTGCATGACCGGTATTGGATAGCTCTAAGCGACCGTTGGACGATCTTGAGTATAGGTCGGGTCTAGCCGCACTTTGCGCGTGTGCCGTGCGGCATGTTCATATCGCCAAGGTACCTGAGTCAGAGAACGCTTCCAGGGTATTCAGTCCTGTGATCGTTTCTAGGATACATTCTTGCTTCCACAGTCTCCAGATAGATTCGTCTTCTATGTTTCCAGCATCGCCTGTCTCGAAATAAACTGCATCAATCGCGGTAAGTCCCAGCTGCTAGCTGTTGCCAAAGCATTGGGGAGATCTATACTTCATACCTTCTTAGTATTAAGACAGCAACTGGCTAAATGAGTGCACTGTAACCCTCTTTCGGATGCAATCATGATCCAGGAGTGGATGATGGTGTACACCGAAGTTTTACCTGCCCTTTCTCGTGTAATAAAGGTACTCAATACACTACCACTGTTGTTTTACAATTTTGATAATCGGCATGAAAGCAGAAATATTTCACAAGCATGCTATGTGCTACCATTTGAGATATGTCTCTTAATGTGTAACTCAAGCCATACTTCCGCGCTGACTACTAATACCAGGGTATACCCAGCTCAACTAGGAGGGGGGCGCGATTAGCTTCAAATGTGCTTCTTGATATTTCACTACCTATGTTCTTGTCTCTCAATTTTCATATGTTTTGACCATCATTTTCAATACGTAATAGGAAAAAAACGAGATTTCGCTATTCTAACACAACCTTTGTTTAGTAACTATTGCTTTTGATCGAGCTTTTACGCGAAATGAATCGAGGCATTGCCAAGTGAAACAGACCGTATCAGTATCTCCCGCATCTCTTGATCAAGTGTATGACACGTGTCTTCTGAGTGCTTCGTGGCTCAGAAGTATGTGGTAATATAGATACGCAAGAGATCAAGGGGCAAACGAATGTTTGCGCCGCCACTGCAACTTACTTACTACCATTAAGCTACAATATCGTGCTATCAGTATAAACTGTGGCCGTCTTTGTGCTATTGGCCTGAATTTTCTACGCTCAATAATACTCTAGCAGACGGATCAATGTGTTCCCAAATATTCTGTGGTATCTGGACAGATCTGGTAGTAATTGCAGCTCATTTCTGACATGGTCCCGTGGCATGGCGTAAGGTCTAAGTTAGATACATTGGATTTACCTTGATTGAATTTGTCTATAGCGAGCACTTGGAGTAGAATGATAGTCGAGTAGCGTAGTAGCCTAATGAGTGCAGGCCTAGCGTGTAGTACGTGATAGCTCCAAATCGGAACTGATTGTGTTCTGAGAACGCCTGCGAACTGGCGGAGCGGATGACGTGCACGGAGCTATGAAGCGCTACTAACATGTGTACTGTTGACCTAGTATTCGGAATCGTTAATCGATGATGTGATTCACGCTGATTAGGAGTTCTCACGACTAAATTGTATAGTAGTTCACTACTTGCGCACTAATCCACAGTGAAAGATGGGTATTATTAGCAATTAGAGCCGGTGTAGTATAGAAGGCACAGAGAGTTGCTTCGTTATACGGGTTGCTAGTATGGTCACGTCAAGCTCATTCATATCCCTTGGTTTTCTACCCTTCCATACGGATTAGTACCAGCACTGGCAGCAACAATGATGAAAAAGAAAAAGAGTGCTGACATATATAATAGCTGTGTAGTAATGACAAGGCTTGAGTACGAAATCGATCTAATCCCCGCATCCGGAAGACGCTCGTGTGCCTGAATGAGCCCGGCATCGATATACAGGGATTGCCCTTGTAGGTCTTGCGGATGCGCGGGTGTATGATTACTGATAGTATGCTATGACAAGGTCATATTTCTGATATTGCACTCGCGACCGTGCTACGCCATCCTGATTTACGTAGTTGTCCGATAAAGTACGTACACGGCTGAGCCATTGCGCGTATACATTAGAGAGGGTTGGCAATAAGTCATTGCCTGAATCCCGCTTCAGTACCCGCCTCAACTGGTCGCCAACCTGCCGTTTGATTGATGTTCTCGGTTGATGTTCTTGGTAGTAAGAATTTAGCTTAATACGTATACATGTAAACATACGCTAAGCATACCTAGACAGAGGGTACGTCAGCGCAGTGGCTGTGCAGTACTTGATTCTCTGCTCAATAAAGAGGATTTTGGCTTGGCACAGAAGTTTTACAATAAGCCGAGCCTACAGATAGAGATGTCATGTATGCGATCATTTCCGACACAATATGTGAGGGTAGATGAGAAACTTACAGCACAAAGATTGATTACACGAAAAACAAACCACATTTCATCATCGTCTGCCTACTACTTTGTACATAGTAAAGTGGATAGCACTCGTGATGTTTTGTAAGGTTGATTTAGGATTATCATTTACTAAATTATGTATTGTAACGGCGAGATCATTATTCTTCTCCCTTCTTCTTGACTTTAGATATCATCAGAGATGGGGCTCAAGCCCTGGGCAGTGCCGAGTTGATCCTCAAACCACAACCTCAATCGCTCAACCCTGTAGCGATCGGCCATCCACTCGCGGAAATAGGTGATATTTGTTCCTGGCATCTCAAAGATAGGAGGATATCCCTGAGGAGGATCAACGTCGCTCCTCACAGGCCACGAGCCTCGGGTTGATTGCCATTCCTTAGTGAGCATGTAGTTGTGAAGCAGTTTTGCTCCCTCTGGGTGCGGTGCGTCTTTCGGGATGGCAGCAAGCTGGAACCAGGTCACGAAAGAGCCCTTGACGGGGTGGCTGATCTTGATGTTTGATGTTGGGAAGAGACCATCCGATGTGAATGAGGCGGCACGCGTCGAGTTCTTGGCTAACATGATGGTGTCGGGGGAGCGAGTGCCACGGACCCAGCGGGGGTTTTGCTTGAGGAGTTTTTGGAACCAAGATTTTCCGTACTGTTGCATGCTGTTCTCTCGTTAATTGTCTTTTCTTCCAGAGCGCTTGTGGGAGTGAAAACTTACATCAGATCAAAAGCGTACAACACCGCATCGTCATCGTTGGGGTAAGTCAAGACAAGCTTGTCCTTGAACTCCGGCCTCAACCAATCCTCCCACTCAACCGGTGCCTGGATCCCAGGCAACTTGTCAGTGTTCCACTTGCCCGCCCATCCTACTGTCAGAATGCCGTAAAATGCGGCACGTATATCCTTCATCGGAACATACACCTTGTCAAGTCCCACAGGCGCATAGTGTAGTAGTGCGCCCTCATTATCCCACCGCGGGTAATCATGCACGGTCTGGAACGCAATGCTGTCAACGTACACCTTACCCGCGGCGAGCTGCTCGTCGAAGCGTGGGCTGTGGTACTTTGACAGGTCGGTGGTGAGGTTGAGTTTCATGCCAGGGAATCGTTTCTCGAATTCGTTCTTCAGCGCATCCTCGTCGGTGCGCTCGTCGCCGCCCAGCCACATTGTGACGACACCACCTTCAGCGAGAGCAGCCTTGTAGATTTCGTCAATTGAGCGTGTCTCGACAATGGCGGCGCCATTGAACCCTAGAGTTTGGTCGTACGCTAGTGTACGGCTCGCCAGTAGGGCGGCCGCTGCGAGAAAAGAATGGAGCATTCTTGGTGGGGGAAGCAAAAGGTTGAGAGAATGAAGGAACTGCGTCGATGAGGAGGACTTAGCCTCTACAACTGAGGCTTTATAAATACTCAAGAATACTTGCTTGGTATTTCTTCTAGCGGAGTCGAGTTGCGCCGAGTTACAAATCAAAATAAAGAAAATCCCTCCCCGTGGGGTTTGTGGATATTCTACATACGAACTCGTTTAGTCTGTTGTTTAGTGTACAATAAAATGCCTCCTATTCATTTTAAACTACGCCAGAATCTCAGACCTGGTAAAGTATCCATACAATTTTGAGAGACGGACCGGTATGCATGCAGTTATTCAAGCCACTATTCGGGCCGTACCTACGGACGAGCCTCTTCAAAGTCTGTTACCCATCCCCCTATTAGGAGGCGTATTAGTTACCATGCCTGACTCGGTAGTATGCTGCGGCTGTACGCTCAGCGGAACGCGGTTGGTTCCGCTCGGTTCTGTTCGGAACCGTCATGATCTCAATACGTGTGTCGCAACATATGTAATCTGGTTTAGCACTCTGTTATAAAGGGAGCTTATGGTAAGCAACGCACCAAAGTCTATACTATATAAGAACACCAGATTGCTCAATATTCCATCGCTGGATAAAGTTCGTGTAGACGTGTACCAGTATGTATCGAAGCTTCTCAAGCATAGTACCAACCCGACAAGCAGGTCAAATTCCGCCATTTAGATTGCGCCCCTACCAGGATCGTTGTTTCCAAACATCCAGACCTAAGAGCGAGAATCCTGTTTCTATCAATTTACCCTTACTCGAATCCCAGACAGTCTAATGCATTGAATGGAAGGCCTCAGTATTGGCCCAATCACAGCGACCACACTAAGTATAAATCTTAATATGAGCCTGCCGTGCCAAGGGCACCCGCTGTCATATATTCGGACTTTTAAGTTTCTAACTAACCAGAGAGGTCGGAGTTTCTAGTAGTGATGTAGAACACGGAAATGCAGGTAATACGTGCAATACTGATGTGATTACACCCACAAGAGACGCCGTCCTGGTTACTCTTAACTGACGCAGGGTGGAATGGTACGATCGAAGAGAAATGCCTTCTTTTCCATCATCGGCATTCTACACCGACATTCCTACGACTAAGTGCTTGTATATGATGAAGCGCAAGGTCTATGGACTAAGTCGCCCCACCAGCTTCATAGGGCAGCTCAAGCGGTCCAAGTTCCCAGAAAGGTTAGTGTGGCTATGCTGCATAGGGGTAAGTGCCAGTCGATCCAACGGAAGCGGAAACATTCCGAATGCTCATTCGGCGAGGCCCAGCTTCCAAGGATCATGCCGGAGATATTAAAGAGTACCAAGAAACTAAACAGACATTACAAAGCAGGAGCGGAGCTCCGGAAATCTGTCCATCCGTTTAGAACAGTAGTAGTAAAGAAAACAATGCGAATGTGCTCACATGGGAGAAGAAACTGCCCGTCCTAATCTAGTAAGGTTGCGAGTCATGACCGAGAGCCACACTCAGCAATCACTGCCCAGTCTCTAATACAGACCTGATGAAGGGTAACCGCCCTCTCGTGGCATTACGATCGCTTCCTGAAAGGCCGTTTATTGGTAGATGTAGTATGAATTGAATCAACACATAGTGGCCGGGTCGTTGTAGGCAGGGTTTTGAAGAATAGAAGTAGGGTATTCTATATATCATAGAAAAAATAATTGAATGAATGTAAACTCTGACCTGTGGCTACTATCTAAAAAGATTTTACAAGTAGTAATGTCGCTACGCTTGTTTTCTTGTGTACAGAAGATGAGAACATCTAAAGACACTACTCTTATCCAGAGCGGTAGCAAGACTACTTGAACTATGGAGCGAGTGAGTGGCCGGAATCCCTAGCTTAGCTAATTTGCTCCAGAGTATATCCAGTATGTATGTTTCGGAATCATTGTGTATTTCTGTTCAAAGTCCCTTGAAATTGGAGTAAAATAGGATTTCGAGGGACCAGAATCAACGACGATGTCCACAAGAACCACACTTAAAGACATGAGCGCAGTGATAACGTTCAAACAAGCTTTACATCCTAGAATAGCCGCTAGCAAAGCTGCGTAGGATGTGCGGGGGCTGTCTAGCGCTATCTGCAGCAGAGCAGACTGAGGAACTTCCCTACTTGTTCCAGAAGGAAGTGGGCTCTGGGTTCTGACACTCGTCACATGCTTCCGAGTTTTAGGGCGGAAACGATTTAGTCTCTGCATGTGTCTAACGTAAGCAGACTGTGGACTTTCCTCCCTTTCTATAAGCCAATGCTCCGCCGGTAGTAAAGATGACAATATCGAAGTAGAAATTTCCTATGAGGGAAAAAATGGGTTCAAGACATATATAGGATTGCCCATCTAGCGATCTCAGTTGTTCACTACAGAACAATCCAGCGCTTGACCTCTATACATAGAGGGCTCCCAGTGGGTGTCCGTACAGGAAGAAACGCGATCTGACTGGCTCTCAGAACCACTGCTCTCATTGGCCACACCTATGCTACCTTAGTATTACCTGGCGTCTATCCAATTTGAGTGTTACATAATATGGGCAAGGTGACTACCGTAGGTGCTGCATGCGCTGACATCGATAAACAGAGTCTGATTGGAATATGTAGTATTCATGAGTCATTGCAGCTTTTCCAACCCAAACGCATCTATACACCTGCCCGTCCTGGACAATTATCCTATTTCAGAACCCACTGCATTCCCCAGACCCCCATTTTACCACCCAATCACCACTCCACCTCATCATGACTAACCCCCCCAAAAGGAAATTCCATGACTCCACGCCATCCCATCCCATCCCATCCCATCCCCATTGTGGGGTAGAAGAAAAGGGCGCCAGCTAACCCGCCTCTAGAAAGCGTTCGGATCGCGCCCCGCCCCACCACCCCACCTGATTGGTTCCCAGCCCATCTGGCGGTGACGGGCGCTAAGGAAAAAAAGGGCATCACCACATTACATACTGTAAGCATCACACAGTCATCCGTAGTCCTCTCATCTTTGTTTGTTCAAAACCCCCAACTGCATGGTTTACATGTAGATATATGATTGAGCCTTTCCCCCGCCTAACAAGAGTGCTTGGTGCGGCATAACACAAATTTCCAATTGACATTTTCTTATCTCCTTGGGATTGACAACAACAAAAGAGAGAGAGATGGAGCAACAAGAGCTACAAATCTTACCAGCCACGACACCCGGGAAAGACGGGATTCCGCACGCAGCGCAAAGAGAAGGAGTAGACCAAGATGTTGCGATCGCAGAGGAGAGGAGAAAGAGGAGTAAAGTGCGCTTAGTCGCTATTATCACCGCGTTGTTTGTACGTTTGGACCTTTTCCCTTGCTCATCCATCGTCTCTTATCAAACTACGTCAAACTTTTCCATCAAGAAGCCTAAAAAAAAAAACAAAAAAGAACAACGAAAGACGAAAAAAGGAAGAAAGAACGAACCTTGATTGATTATGTCTATATACTAACCACCCACTTAAAAAAAAAGCTCTCTCTCTTCGTCTCTGCCCTCGACGCAACAATCGTCGCCACAGCCGCCCCAACCATATCCCGCGACCTCTCCTCAGCCGCAGGCTACACCTGGATCGGCGGCGCCTACCTGCTCGCCAACGCCGCCTCTGGCCCCATCTGGGCGTCGCTCTCCGACATCTGGGGCCGCAAGCTCATCATGCTCGTAGCGCTCGCCCTCTTCTTCGTCAGCTCCGCCGTGTGTGCCTCCGCAAAGACGATGCAGGAACTTATTATCGGACGGGCATTCCAGGGCGCTGCGGGCGGCGGGCTGATATTGCTTGTGCACGTGTGTATTAGTGATTTGTTTAGTCTGCGGGAGAGGAGCTTGCTGATGGGGTTTGCAGAGGGGATTTGGGCGTTGGCTGGAGGAGTAGGACCGGTGCTGGGCGGCCTTTTCGCGAGCTTGGTGAGTTGGAGGTGGTGTTTTTATATTAACCTGCCCATTAGTGGTGTAGCCTCGATTCTCGTCCTGCTCTTTCTCGATATTCGGCATCAACATACGTCGTTTCTGCGTGGCATTCGCGCGATAGATTGGCTGGGCATCGTCACTTTTCTGGCTTGTACGCTGCTCTTGCTCCTCGGTCTCGACTTTGGCGGCGTCTTGTTTCCCTGGTCTTCGCCCAAGATTATCGTTCTCCTTACTATCGGCACGGCTATGCTCTTCGTCTTCATCTACAGCGAGGCCAAAGTCGCAAAGTACCCGCTGATACCCATGTCCTTGTTCAAGCGGGCTACCAATGTCGCCGTGCTATCCGTCGTCTTCCTGCACGGCTTCGTCTTCATAGCAGGAGAATACTACATGCCGCTCTTCTTCCAGTCCGTCCTCGAAGCCTCGCCCTTACGCTCCGGTCTGCTGCTCCTCCCCTTCATCGTTACAGGCGCCCTTGCTGGCGTAGGATGCGGTGTCATAATGCACAAGACGGGACGCTTCCGACCCATCATCTGGATCGGCACACTGCTCCTTACCATTGGCTTCGGCCTCTTCATCGCCTTCAGCGCAACAACTTCGACGGCAATGTCCGTTGGTTTCGTAGCCATCGGCGGCCTGGGCTCAGGAGTCTTATTCGAGGCGCCCCTGATTGCGATTCAAAGCCAGGTCCAGCAGTCCGATGTCGCCAGTGCAACTGCTACGTTGACGTTTATCCGCAACATTGCCGTCGCTGTATCCACCATTGTCGGCGGCACAATTATCCAGAATTCCATGGATGCCCAGGCCTCCTTGCTGCGCGACGCCGGCGTCCCACAGCATATACGGGAACTGCTGGATGGCGAGAATGCGCTTGCAAACGTCATGGTGCCGAGCACATTGGGCGATAACCCCAAATGGGAATATGCTGCCAAGCAAGCGTTTGCGTACGCCATGCGCAACATGTGGATCACATACACAGTACTTGCATTCCTGGGCTTTGTAGCAAGTTTGTTCATAAAATCGGCGGTGCTGAGTACAGACCATGTGGAGACTGTGACGGGGTTGAAGAAGGAAAAGAAGCCGACCGAGATCACGACATGAGTTTATCACCTTTTGCAAAAGTATCATTGAACCCAAAAGTTTTTTCTTAGACCCCATAAGTACTCTGAGATCCAGAGATATCCCTAGATCCGAAATCACTCTTGGATTCAAAAGTCTCTTTACGTCTATAGCGTCTATATACAGAATTATTACCTCTACCTACAACAACAACAACAATCCTAATAAGGAATGCCATTCGTGATAAGCTGGAACCGATCATATGTTCCTGTCGAGTAACTCGACCTACTCTTCTCAATCAATCCTCGCATATACTCGGCCGCCTCGCGTTCACTCTTGTCCAGCACAAAGCGATCCCTAAAGTTACGCATGGATTCTGGCTTAAAGCACGGCAATCCACTATCCAGCATGACCTGAACCACGTGGCAGAGATGGTCGCAGTGCTGTCTGCTGGCCAAGAAGGCCTTGACGGTGAGTTCTTCGAACCAGCGGTACGCCTGCGAGGTGTATGGATTCGCCGCATTCTTTCCAGACATGACAGCAATCATTTCAGCCGTGAGCTTGAACGGCGCGCGCTCGAATTTGATGCCACCGGGAGCAATATCGAAACAGAAGCCAAAATCAATGTGGATAATGTGGCCTGCGTCGTCAATCATGATATTTCCATTGTGTCGGTCCTTGAACTGTAGCAGGAAGCTGATGACGGAGTACGCAGCCATGGACTTTACAAAGTTGGAACGCGCTTCCTGGTACCGGATGGAGTCTTCATTACCATATCGAGAGACAAAGTAGTCATCGAGACGATTGACGGCCTCACGACCCAGCATGTCACGCGAAATGGAGTTGGGCAACACGTCAATGACACCGCAGCCGGGCGCGGTTGCTGTCACGCGGTAAGGGAACACCCAAACGTCAAGACCGACTGTGTTGAAGATACCCCGGAAAGCCGCAATCATCTGTAGAGCAAGCACGTCCTGGCGACAGTCATCTCCGACTTTGAAAATGGCAGAAAGCCATGTTTCGTAGCTGTTGTCTTTCTTTGGTGCCACGTCCCGGTCATCATCTTCAGTCTCCTCCAAACCTTGGTCTTCCGGCCTGGTCTTTCTGATGCGGAAGGTGGCCATAAACGGTGTCTTAGCGTGACTCTGCAGTGGCTTTCCAGACTTGCGGTCAATGCCAATAACCTGACCATCGGGATTAGAAGGAAGGTAGACGCCAACCTCCACCTTGATCTTGCGCAGCTCTTCTTCAATCTTCTGCTTCTTGACCTCTTTAGGCTCATGCAAAACTGAGCGTAAAGTACCCGAGATACCGGTAACCTCGTTGAAGAATGCA